AGTCAGATCCTGTAAAAATGTATATGTTGGGTCAAAACAAATCAATTGGTTATCCTGTCTTTTACATCTATGCATTTTAACAAAATTAACATTTTAATAAAATTTAACAAAAATTTTAGCACCAGTGCTAAAAGTAAATGACTTTTACCATCAGTGACATATATGTCACATTTTAGGCACTGACAGCATGCGTTAAAAATTACATTTTTACTGACGTTTGTAGAAAAACATATTTTTTCACATACTTACTGTGCAAATAAAAAAAGATATTTTTATTAAGAGTTTTCTTTATTTTATATAAATATATTTTAACGATACGTAGATTTAGTATAGGCACTATCTAATAGTGTTTATGGTGTTGAATTTCTAGATAAGCACTCCACTTCTCTTTCCATTAAAAAACTCAAAAATTATCAAAAAAAATAAACTATTTAATCTCTACCAGCTAAAATCACAATAAATTATTTAAATTATCAAAAATACAAATAATCTTCTTATTCCTTCTTCTCCTCCTTCTTTTCACTCTTTTCACTCTTTTCACTCTTTTCACTCTTTTCATTCTTTTCATCTCCCTCTTTCTTGTTCAGGTCAGGATGGGTGTGTTCGAAATAGCACTTGTGGATGAGGTAAACGGTCTCGCAGGCATCTTTTCCTTTAATCTTGCAGTCCTCCACGATGGCCAGAGCCTTTTCTTTGTCCGCTTCGGGGGGCAGTTTGGCCTTGACAACGTCGATTTGGACTTCGCCGTCGTCGTTAACGAAGCCTGCCTTTTGGTAGAAGCATTTGGTGAAGCATTTGAGGGCGGCGTCGTCTGTGAACTCTCCCTGGTCCGCCTTTTCGATCAGTTCAGGCTTCACTTTGGTCTCTTCGATGCATTTCTGACGGTTTTCGATTATCTTTTTCCGTTGTTCTTCACTAAAGTCCTGAAAAAGAGAAAATTGCATTATGCAGGATGTCTAAAATTCGAGGATGACCTCTGAGATCTCGGAAAATATAAGACATCCGAAGTAGGTCAAATTTTAGCAAAGTTGCTCAATTTTATAATGAATTATACCGTATGATCGAAAAAAAAACGGCGTCCAGTTGGCTTGGAAATGACGATCGATGACATTTCCCATATAATTTTACATATAAAATGACAGCGATCTTCATTTCATAGCCATCGCTGACGCCGTTTTTATTCGATCATACTGTATTTATATTTGAGTGAATTTCGTTCGGCAAATTATAAATATCTGAATAGGTCGAAAGATATTCGGGAGAAACGAAATAATGTAAAATGGTTTTTAATGTTTTCAGCATATATTTAAAGAGATATTTTAAAATAACTGCTTCTTCATTGTCACTCTTTTTTCTTTATTAAGATGACGCAATTAAGTTTCAAATCTGACGTTTTTGTTTCCAACCATCAGTTTTATTCCTTTTTTATTACTTGTTTTAAAAGCTTAGGACCTCTTTACAAAAACTTTTATGAGAATTTTTGTTATTATTTATTTTTAGGCAGGTGTGCTGTACATTTATATTTAGGAGGTTACAAACTATTAAAAAATGTGGTAATAAGCTATGGTAAAGTGCGTATTTAAAAAAATGAGCTGATGATAATATTCCGTAAACAATCGCCCGGTTTTGACATTTAATAGGTCTGTTCGTTTTCCTGTTATTATCGATTCTGAATCATCCTAGAACTCTCCAGCACATGCGCAAATGAAATAATGTCTGCATATTTCCTTCTGCGCATACGCATCACAATTCTAGGACGGTTCAGAATCCGTAATAACAGGAAAACGAAAAAAGCTAATAGAACTATCAAATAAAGAGGAAAATGGCATTGCCGTGGTGGCATTTGATATAAAATAGCTCTTCAAATAAAACCAGGAAAAAATAAAAACGATTTTAATATATTTCGATTTTTTCCACATATCTTCAGAAGTATTCAAATGATATGCGGGAAATTTTTATTTTTCAAATCGTCATTTTATTAGAACGAAATTGTAAAACTACCATAATTTGACATTTTTCATAAATCATACCTCTTATTTCCAAGATCACAATCTTCACCCTGTACAGGGCGGGTCAAATTAGAAGCTTTTAAAGGGAAACACCATTTTCTATAGGTGATAGACGAAAACTAATATCGATATCTGGAGCTCAATTTTCATCAAAAACATGATGGTGAAAACCACACATCGATATCGGTTACTGTTTTGGAGTTACGGGGTTTTTTTCAAAAATGTGCATTTTTTGAAAACACAACTTTTTTACTATAGAAAATGTTGTATTTCTATGAAAACATTTCCAAAGCACCTTTTTACGTAAAATTTCGTGGTTTAAGTATAATTTTTTTTAAATTAATAATTTAAAAGTTATCAACAAAAAAATTGATTTTTTATTTCGGACACCCTGTATGTTTTTAATCAACTGAAAAGAACTTAAAATTAGCTTTTCAAAAATATACCACAGTTATATTTTGTTATAATCCCTTTCGAAATACAGAATTTTTAAAAGTTCGCCACTTTTAACTAGTAGGCTTTGGACCCCTTATTGATGATATGCCCCTAACGGAACTCGAAAACATATTTTTCCAGCAAGACGAGGCACCGCCTCAGAACGCTGAAGTTATCAGAAAATTTTTGCAGCCAATTTCAAGAATAATGGAATAGCTAACCAAGATCCCAGCCTGGCTGTTGTGCCGCCGCGCCGGCTGGCTGTTATGTGTTGGCTGTCGAGGCCGCCGGACTTAGTGCCTTAGGATTTAATTTTATGGATATCTTTGCGGAAGAATAAAGGTTCTTACTTTTAAATTGCCCATATAATCAAGACAAGAATTAGAACTAGTTAGCAGTTATGAGAGGGTATCTTTACCCCCTCTGAGTTAATATTTATTAACTCAGAAATCCAGAAATGTTCAAAATCTGCAGCCCCGTCTGTTCATAACAGAAGACGGTCGATATGTCGAACACCTGTAGCAAAATCTCATGTCTTGGTTTGTTATCTATTTTTATTGTTATTAGATATAGTTTAAATATTTTGTGATGTTAGTTAAATATAGTTTAAATTGTTATAAAATTCTGCATCTCTCATTGCAAATATTATTTTCGTTTTAATTGCTGCTTACAGCTATAATTTTTTTGCATTACAGCCGGCGCGTTCAAAGACTATAGTTATTTAAAGTGGGCGAATTTTTATAAACTCTATATCTCGAAGAGGAATCGAGCAAAATATCAAGTGTGTTATATTTTTGGAATAGTAGAGTATCAGCACATCATACATTTTTGTAACCAATTGCTAAAAGTAAATATTTCTATTTATACCATGATTTGATTAGATTCGGCCAGTGTGCGCCGGCGCCGTTCAAAGCTTACTTATTCAAAGTGGGTGAATTTTTAAAAACTCTATATCTCAAAGAGGAATCGAGCAAAATATCAAGTATGCTATATTTCTGGAAAGGTAATTTTAAATTATTTTCAATGAATTAAAAATATACAAGGTGTCCCATATAAAAAATCAAATTTTCTGTTGATAACCCTTAAATTATTAATTTTAAAAAGATTATACTTAAACCATTAAATTCTACGTAAAAAGTTGCTTTGAAAATATTTTCATAAAAATACAAAATTTTCCATAGCAAAAAAGTTACAGCGATTTGTTAAAAATGCACATTTTTGAAAAACACCCCGTAACTCATAAACAGTAACAGATATCGATGTGCGGTTATCCCCATCATGTTTTTGATAAAAATTGAACTCCAGACACCGATATTAGTTATCGTCTATCTCCTATAGAAAAGGGTGTTTCCCTTTAAAAGCTTCCAATTTGGCCCACCCTGTACACATAAAAAAAATAAAAGTTATCAGACATTTTAACTCTTGATAAAGGCCACTGTTATCCTGTTAAATAAACTAACATTAATCAATTTTGAGGTGTTTTGATGCATATACTGGGAAGTAATTCATTTTTGAAAATGCGTAAAAAGCATACATAAAGAAATTGTCATTGTAGAATGAATAGTAGATCTCATATTAATTTAAAGTCAGCCGCTTCATAACAAAATATTTTTTCTTGCAACTCTATATTTATTACCTACTAATTTATGGTCCTACCAACTATTTGAATAGAATTAGATAACAATATTTCGTCCTATTGCTGCCAAAAATCACTAACTAACATTTTTCCGAACAACCAAATTCAATCACTAACTATATGTTTTGAAGCGGAGAATCGATTGCAAAAGTCATTAACTACGATTTCTGGCTATTTATGTTTTATTTTAATACCGAATAGTTAGTAACTATAACATCTGTATGCAATGCAATTCATCTTTAGACGCATTTTTCTCGGAAGTATTAAAAAGTAAGTTAGTGACTTTTGGCAGCAATGGGATGATTTATTAGTTACATACCATACAAAATTGATTTAAATCATTAGTCCAGCAAAAACCGAAATATAATTAATAATTAGGCTAATATATTTAATTGAATAATAACAAACAATAATAGAAATTATAACAAACTATTTAAAAATAATGAACAACATGAAATTCCTCTTTAACTCATTATATTATACAAATATATCTACAAATTGGCAGTAATAAAAAGACGGCATATAAAATTATCCCTACAAAACTATTCAACAGAAACTAACAAAAAGCAATGTCACTTTGGAATAATATAAAACCCTGGTATACTTTTCTGTATTGATTGTTTCAATCAGTAATGGCTATTACTTATTATATTTTTTCATATATGCATAATAAACTATATTGTTAAATAAAAATAAGGTAAAAGTTGTTAGAAACATAATATGAATACCTACTGATTTAATTGAAGGTCGCATAAAAAACAATGTTAACTGTTCAAGTTTTTTTTTTGTTTCACATGCATTACTTTGAAAAAATAGGTTATGAAACTAATGAATTTCCTGCAACAAGATATCTTTATATCAACAAATACAGTGCGATCAAATAGTTCTATAACCAAGCGTTCTCACAAAGTTAAAGCCTCGGTCAATGCCTTCAAATTCTGATAAAATTAAAAAAAATTTAACACGGTCATAATGTAATCTTTCTAACATCTTATTATTTTTCTTCGGTTAAATTGGAGAATTATCAAATTATTATAACCACTTCTAACCCTTATGAAAATATTTCTCTAAAGGCCATTACTTTAAACGTCAGTTAAAATATAATAACCGACAATCAAATATAGATATCACTAAATTGTTTAAGAACATGATAACCATTTTAAATATTTGTTGCTAATATAATAGTGATAAAATATAATATACATTTATATTTTTTATATTTTATTTAAATTAAAGCTAAATTATATTCCTAAGTTTTGCAAAATTGTAGTTATTAATTTAATAATGCCTATACGGGGTGCGTCTCAAAAGTGGCTCACCCGTATAACTTTCTTATTTTTTCAGATAAAAAAACGAGATTTGGTATGTTAGTAAATTCTAAAAGACGGGGCCCGGGGCGGACCGCCCCTTCCGCCCCCCCCCCTGCTCCGCCACTGAGCCAACAATAGTAGTCATTTTACAGACCACTGCAATTATAGCATTCTTTTTATCTTATGGTTCATCTAATTATCTGTTTATTGTGTAATAAAAAAATACTACGTAACTATACCGGGTGCGTCTCAAAAGTGGCTCACCCCCTATACCTTTTTTATTATTTCAGACAAAAAACGAGATTGGGTATCTTAATATAAGACATAAATTAGGATTGATTGACGTATTCAATTATTTTTGGTCACTTTCTGTTTCACCGGAAATAGCAGATTCGGTATATTTTTACTTTATTCGATAGAAAATGACACTCGAATACAATGACATATCATATGTCAACTTTTGACATTTTCGCTTACAGAAAAATCCTATTTTAAATAGAGTACTATGGCTTTGTTAAAAACACTAATATTTAATCAAGGATCCTTGAAAAAACAGATTTGATCATCAA